AAGCAATGGACAGCCTAGCCGAACCTAACCCGAAGGATGTCGAGGACCTTGAAATGTACCCATCATGAGCAGATAACGCAATGAGCATGGCCTTTGACTACACGCTACAACTTCAAGCGCGAGTATGGGCCTTCAATCGTCGTATGCAAGCCTCACAGAAAACTCCTACAAGGGCTGACACAGAACGCGTCTCAATCGAGTCACCACCTCCGAATCCTGTAGCATAATCACTAGAACTTCCCACACTTCCTGTTCCAAGCTTCAACGGGAACATATGGGAATGGGACAACCTCTGGGAGTTATCCAACTCCAACGTTCATTCACAGAAGCTTTCGGGAGCCCACAAGTTCAACTACCTTTCAAACGCGTTGAAAGACGAAGCTCTGGAGTCGGTGAAGAAGTTCCAAGTCACAAGTGGAAACTATGAAAAGGCAATCGACTTCCTAAAAAAGAAGTATTGCTGTTCCGGAGAGCTTGCATTTCATCTCATGGACCAGTTGGATGACTGTCCTCTTCGAACAACACACATACCTGATCAGCGACATTGAGCAAGTGCAAGTTATTGTTGCACAACTCAAACAGAAGGACGAAAAGGTGAATAGCCAATGGTTAATCAGGCGGCTACTGTCCAAGTTCCCCAGTCAAATTCAACGACAAGTCCTCTTGAAGAGGCAGGTTACTTCGAAAGACGCTGCCTTCGCTATGGATCACCTTCTGCAAATTTTTGAAGATATCCTTACAAGTGGAGAAATGGTGTCTCGTACATGAAGAATGAGCTTTCTCATGCTGCTGGGAACGGCGACAAACGGAAACCGCCAAAACTCGGCTCACGGCAATAATGCATGTTCTGCGAAGGAAGCCAGAAGTCTTTTGACTGTAACAAGTACGCAACACCACGAGAATGTTCACAGTGCTTAAGAGAACACAAGTTATGCTTGGTATGTGCACCACCACGACATATCACAGCAGAATGCAAGAAACGCCCATGTTTCAATTGTCTTAAGTAGCACCACATTTCGTGCTGCTTCCAAGAATAGGAGAAAACTGCTACGGCATCATAGCTTCAAGAAAGAGTACCCGATTACGAAGAAAACAGCAAGTTTAAAGGAAGCCCAAGCAGAAGCGAAGAAACTAATACAGGCAATTCGAGGTAAAAGTGAACTACCTCAGCCATCACTCGAATTCTGTATCTCCTGAAGGGCAAACAGTCCTGTTCTGTCAGTTCTATGTTCTTCAGTTCTACCGGCTAGACACCAGCTAGAGGTACAACCCACCTATCTACTCACGAGCGAAATCACAGCATTAGACCCGACCGCGAAGAATTTGAGGAAAATCTCAACCCTTCCAGATACAGAAGCAGAAGTCTCATTTGTAGATACAGCATGGCTGCGGAACTGCATCTACATTCAATCAAGTAGACACGACTTCGTCTTCACACTTTTGGTCCGGACCATGTACATGAGACAACATCACGTGAAGTCTCGCTTCAAGCATGGGACGTAAGAGCACTCCCGTTCACTCTCTCTGTACACTCAGGGGATTTTGAGCAAGCCATTTGAGACTGCTGCTACCTGTGCAGATAACATGAAGTTCATCCTCCAGCACAAGCTGACAGTTAAATTCAAGGAGGGGTGTTCGACTGTGAAACCATCCGTATTCAGCTGCGACCCATTGTGGACTTTGATCAAGTGTTTTGAGCCATGTCTACAACTTCCTTCTGGATTGCGGTTTCTTCCAACCCGTCTGGGTTACATATTGACAGGCAAAACAACCAGGTCACTACAAGGAGAGAATCTGGAAAAGGAAAAATACAACTGGGATGGTTTCTGGATATGGGAGGGGCAAGCTAATGTAACAACCTTTCCTGACCCACAGTCGGAAACCGAGGGAAATGAGAACTGGAACCGGTACTGGTCACTAGAGTCTGCAGGAGAAAAGTTTTCGCACGCGGAAAAAGAGGAACAAACTGCAGCAAACCCACAAGCGTGAAAGAAATTCAACGAGACGATAGAGAAGCCAGGTGACCGATACTACGTGAGGTGACCGTGGAAAAACGTAAATACCAAATTACCAGACAACAAAACAATAGCCCAAAATCGACTTCTTTCTGTCTGGAATTCATTGAAAAAGGATGAAACCTTGATGGCAAAATATGACGGAGTATTTGAAGAACATCTTGAGAAGCATATCTTAAAACAAGTGGGCAACACCAACTCTCCAAAGGAGTGCGCGGTTCACCACATTCCCCATCAAGCAATACTTAGTGCACAAAAATCTACCACCGAACTTCAAATCGTCTTTGATGTATCAGCACACTACAGAGGATGCCCCTCAATGAACGATGCTTCACATGCGGTCCTGCCATACTTCCACAGCTATACCGTGTACCACTCAGATTTCGAATGGGGGAGATAGCGTTCATCTCAGATATGGGAAAAAGCATTCCTACAAGTCCGAATTCAGAAGATGACCGTGACCATACCCGCTGTTTGTGGCTACACGATTACAAGTTGCCACCCACGCCAGACAATATACGAATATTGCGGTTCACAAGAGTAACCTTTAAGTTGAAAACATCACCATTTTTGCTAGCTGGAACTATTCGTTTCCATCTTAACACATACAAGGAAGATGTACAGCTAATGACGCAAATCAAAGATAACGTGTTTGGCGACAACCTTATTCTTACGGCGGATTTAGTAGGTTCTTCTTGCCACATATACGCTAGAGCAAAACAAGTTTTCAATGATTAGAACATGAACGACGTGAGTTCATATCCAACAGCACAGAACTGGTGTCCCACATAAAAGACAAGGACAAATCAGGAGATGTGCACTCAAAAGTAGTGGAACTTACATGAATACCACCGCAGGACTTCTTCCAAATAGAATGCAAGTCGAAATTCCCTGAAAGGATTGCAAAACAAAACGTAGCAAGTACGGTGGCGTACATTTACGACCCTCTCAGATGGGTGTTGCCATTGCTCCATCGCGCCAAAGTATTCCTCCAAACACTTAGGAAAGAAGGTTCTGACGGGATACGACCCCGTCACCGCATCACACTGACAAGTGGACAGAGATATACTCCAAAATGGAGGGATTTTCAAGAACCCCCTACCTCAAAGCCTTTCTGAAAAAAACGTTGAATTCTGCCTAGTAGCATTTGCGGACGCATTGCATTTGAGTTTCGAGGCAACCGCCACAAGTGTCTACCTACTCACTAGGGACTTTTCCAGTCTCCTCATGGCAAGGAATAAATTACCTTCCCTCAGGAGCAATAAAATCACGATATTAAAGATGGAGTTGGACGCTGCTACATTAGCTCTACGTTTGACGAATGCAGTCCTAGTCTGATTACGGGTCGTACTAAGAAATCGAGACGTCTACATTTGCACGGATTCCGAAGTTGCGCTAAATTGGATTAAGCGTCAGCAGCTGGCCTAAGTGAGAGTGAGAATTTTCAACCGTCTTATGGAAATTGGGAAAATTACCCAGACTTTCAAAACGAAGGAGAGCGAGTTTTTTTCGGCTACGTTTCTACGGACAACAATCCGGCAGATTGCGCAACTCGAGGGGTCGACCAGAGGGACTCAATCTACCATTCTGGAGCACAGCACCATCCATTCTCTACGACCCACCTGAGACCTGGTTAAATAAATTCCAAGGGCTGGACAACGTCGGGACTGCAGTCTACGAGGATACAACCGGAAATGAGGCGCAAGACTAGCGAAGGCACCAGAAAAATGCAAACAGGTTCTTCTATCCAAAAAGGATTTCCAAGTGAGTCCGAGAGATCATACTTATTCTCCCGACTGGAAAAATACTCTCTGAAAAATGCTTGACGCATTGTAGCATTTCTCCTGCGTTACATCAGAATACTAGTTCTCGGGTCAACGCAAAGCAGACCGATACAATCTATCTTTTCACACTTCTTGAAGGGATGAGTATCAACTATGCCGAATTCTCAGGCACAGAGATAGCAACGGCTGAAAAAATGCGGTGAAACAGCATCAGCATTCGATGACTACTAAATCCTCCAATCTTTAATCCAAACATCACGACATCGAGAAAGATTCACCTTCTTGCTCAGATGCTTTGGACGCTTGGGCAACAGCGATTTGCCGGCAGAAACCGAAAATCTTATGATTGCCCTGCAAATTTCGTGGCCAGCTGAAGCAATAATAAGAGACTGACACAATACAAGGCATCCAGGAATCAGCCATACGATGTCACTGATACGACAGAAGTACTAGATTCCCAAATTGCGAACACAAGTGACAGGCCAGATAGGGAAATTCAGTGAAGGCACATCACGCCATTCGCTTCCTGGCGAGGTTGATTCTACGAAAGATTAATCAAAACAGTAAAATATTCGCTCTACAAGTCATTGGGACACTCAAAACTCCTTTGAACACTTATCCACTCTGATACTCGAAATCGATGCCCTCATCAATACAAGACCGCTCGTATACATAGGATCGCAATCACCATTTGACAAGTGTTGAGGCCAATCGACTTCCTGCAGAACGAATTCGAAGGTTCCTCATCCACTGGACCAAGTGACGAAGAAGCAGACAACCCCACGTACTAACCAACCGAAGATCAAGCTCATGTAAAGACGAGAAGACAGGCTATACAAGATTTGCGATTATCTTGTTTATCCACCGATAAGTTCTGGCAACCTTGGAAAACCCAAAATTTGCTAGCTTTACGGGAGAAACACCTGCAATTTGAAGTCGTCAAGAACAGAAGTTCAATACACCTGCCGAAGAAAGGTGACGTCCTCATCAGCGAAGAAGTTACACCTCGACATCCATGGAGAATGGGAAGAATTTATGACCTGGTCGCAAATCTGGAAGGATAGTACGCGAAGCAGTCATTATGCTACCGTCACATCGGCAAGTACGTCGGCCCATAAACCTACTGATTCCACTAAAATTAGAAGGGGAAGTTCCCCCGAGACGAGTTCAAGAAGAATTATCTCCACACAAAGTTCCAATAATGACTCCGGATTCCCGGGTATTAAACATAACACAAGCTCCAGAACTTTGGGAGGTCATTATAATCTCCGACCCAGGAAACAATGGAACTACAGGAGAACCATGGCGACAGCGCTGCAATGCAATCACATCTCATCAACATCCTGTCTATCTTGGTCACAGTAATGAGATGTTCGTGCTCCAGCCAGCTTTCGGGTCATAGCTTCCAACAAGTGACCTGCGTCGAAGAACCTGTTTTACCTCAACAACTGATCGCCAACTTCAAAAGACCCTACGGAGATCTACAAGTTTCCGTACACAATAACTGGATAGAGGCAAAGTTCACTAAGGACGACAATCACAGCAACATCGGAGCAACGTGAATGCTTTCAATTATCACCAGGAATTATTCTACCTCTTCTAGCCTCGATAGTGCTGCCACAGCTCAGTCAAGTGCTCTACAGATCTCACGGCCTAGGACTCGTGGAACTCATTCACGGACTGGTGTTGTACAAAGATGTTTCCACCCTAGATATAGAACATTAAGTTATTCTCCGAAAGTTCTGCCAAAAAGTGCGAGGCACTTACTCATATTATCCGACAGTGCGGGAGCGATCTCGATAAAACGCAAGTGAATTCGATATTTATTCACCTCTATCTACGCGATGAAATATTCTCTGATTTCAGACCCACAAGTAGCATGGACGACGAACTCGCTCTGCTTCGACTTTACATTAAGGAGGCGTCTGTGGCCAGCAGTTTTGAGAACAGCCTCAACCTCGTGCTGGACGGAATTGACAGGCAATTCGCAACTGCTGCAATTATTCGTTCGGACTGGGCACACATGAAAGGAGAGCCTCTACTCAACTTCAGTCCACCTCAGGAACAAGTAATCGTACTGAATCGAATCGAATCCTGAGAGCAGCGAAAATGTCGAAGGAGAAAATAGTGCAGCTATTCTATAAGTATTTCTTCATAAGGGAACGGTACGAGAGTCTATTCGACTCTTTTTGATGCAACAGCTGGATCGAGATGCGAAGGAGATTGACGGACATCTCCGCAATCCTCTCGAAGGACAGCGAGGAACTCAAACGCCTCAGCATCATAGTAAGAGAAATTGAGAAGGAACGTATGAAGGCAGAATGGTAGATCCAACATTCGAAGCAGTATGATCAAACTGAAACGCACAAAAGGATCGCATTGAAACTTCACCGTATTGTACAACGCCAACACGACGAAATCGTCACTTCGAAGCAGAAGATCGGCGAACTGGAAGCCATGAAAACACTGTATAAAGAGCAACTACATCAACATCAAGTTCTGGAAGAGGCAAAAAGAAGAGGAGTACAAGCTGAAATTTCCGACAAGTCTTACTTCGAGAGAGTAATCGAAGAATTTAACGGCAAGGAAGACAGTACGGAAGATATCCTTAATTTGGAAGATGTTTGAGTGACGATGAGGACGATCGCATGGAAGAGGTTCCCGCCTCGGAGGATCCGAATGATCACACAACTACCAATCGACTCCAAGAAGACCTATGGAAAATGGAGAAAGTTCTCAAATAGTTTTCGTATAGAATTAGGGCGACACAAACGACATAGCCAGCGACAAGCCATGCGCCTTTTGTGGAAAAATCAAGTGCTACTTTTCGGACTCGTGCCCCATGGTGATCGGCGGAAACAAGCAATACCACATCGTCAACAGTGGAAAGTTATGCATATACTGCCTGGACGACTGCTCAAGGTACAAGCGCGAGTTCAAGCCATGAAGCTGCTGGTATTGCGACCGCGTCAGAGGAATAATTGCTGAGGATCTAATCCCGGAAGGTAATGACCACCACAGAGCACTCTACAGTGTAACGGTTCGAGCCTTTTCGTCGACCGGATTGTATCGCTCAGGAGAATTTGAACAAAGGAGAGCCAGAATCAGCGGTCGGGAGTGTAGAAGAATCGACCATTGATAACATGTTGTTGATGTTTGTGTTTATTTCTTGATGCTCTATTTCGCGCCGTATTTTTCATCTCTGAGGGGTGTATGAAGCCCGCCATTTGAATGCTCAGTGAGTCTTTGTTTGAAGTCCTAGTAACAGTCGACTATTTGTTAACAAGTTACTACGTAAACTGAAATCTAATAATTGTACTGTATAAAGTCCCGCGTGGCAAAGAGCAGAAGAACAAAGAGTATTAAAGTGGACACGCCCATACGCCGCACGTTACACCCACCCACCGCGTTGAGGTATAGGCCTTGCCAGATATGCAACAAGTTGAAATCTGTGTTGCTTTTTCGACAACGTCGATAGGGTAAAGTCCTGGGGGGTTAATCAATCCCGTCAGAGGGATGCGCCCACGCATTCGACTTCCATTCAGGATCATAGTGGCGGTTTTGTACGCGCATGTGGCCTGTATAATGACTTGCGGTGGTCGGCCGATGTACGTGTCGTGTCGATCCGGGATTTGAACACGACCATGCGTATGTGAAGTGCGCCACTTGCCACTAAACCACCTCAGCCCATCGATAGCGAATGGTTTCATATTCTCCCAACCTTTCCATGTCTTCTGCCCCTATGATATCATTAGTTCATCTTTGCTGGTTCACCTGGCTGTTGTTGCGTATTTTTACTCACGTAGCGCGGACTCCAGGTCAAGACATGTGTTTAAATAACTTGATTTATTTCCTATTTATTATCCTTAGAATTGTTTGCGTTTTCTACTCGGGTAACATTCAGATCGCGCCCGCTCCCCCATCGTAGGCGGAATACAGTCCTACTCCTGCCATTAATGTTCCCATCCACATATCTCTTTTAAACTTGAACCTTTCAGGTCTGAAGTTCCGAGCATACCCTGTTCTAGCAGGGTGAAGTCTAGTTCCGCCACCCACCATCAATGTTCCCAATTTGTCAACCAAATTTGAATCCTCTCTCCACGAGAACTGAAGTAACAGATTCTGTCAAACGCAGACTTGTTCACATAAACAAACACGAGTGTATTTATGTATGTGTGAACATGTAGACATGTACGCATGTATGTGCACATAGGCTCAAGCCGAGTTCTCCTCATTCTTGTGTTATTGATGATCGGCCGCCTGCATTCTTCCAAATTTGAAAGCTCAGGTTCTAGAGGAAAGGAGCTAGTGGATTCTAGCGAAACATACACATCGTCCCACTCGAATGCACTCCACTTATTCCAACCTGTCTGCGTATTTTCACTCATTTGCGTTCATTTCAAGCGCGCCCCGCCCTCCATCCCCCAACGCGAGTCCCGGGCGGGATCCAGTCAGGTCAGTTCCTACCACATACCATAAGTGTTCCCATCCTGCCGCCCGTACTCCTAGTCGAGCGTCTAGGGCTAAATTTTCGTGCCTACCCTCCCCCCCCCTCCCTTGGGTGAGGTCCTGTTGTGACATCTAACATCATGTTCTCAACCGAG